TGGATCACTTCAGTGAGCCTGAGTCTGCATTCAATTACAGCCTTCTTAAAATACAGTGGTGGATTCCTCTGTTGTACCATGCTGGCGGAGTCCCAAATTACTTTAACAATTAGTGTCTCCAAAACACCAAGCTTGATTCGGAGCTGGAATCTGAGACCTCAGAATACTCAACCAGGGTTAACAGATGTCTCTTGACACCCACCAAAGGCCTCTGTCTCTTCTCATGTTGCGTTCTTTTTAAAAGTCTTCGACTCTTAGATACTGTTTTAACTGACCTTATTTTTTTCAATTTGTTTTTATTTTGATGAATTCATGCTGCTGCCTTGCATTGGTCTGTAGGTCTCTAAGAGTGTTTTCTTCATCACTTTCCCATGGAAACTTAAGCAGCTCTGTCCTTTGTCCCCTGCACTTATTCTTAGTATCAGAATAATCTGCAGGTTATTAAACTAATTTTCCTGAGTCACTCTAGACTTCCTTCTCCTGTAGAGATGAAGAATATCAAGATATCTCTCTGCATTTATTGGAATTAAGCCATCAATTCAAATTCAGTATGGTATAAGACAGATCCCAGTCTTTCCTTCCAAACCTTTTTCCCATTTCCTTACTCTCGGCAGAGAGAAACATCTCCATGCTTTCTGCTGCTCAGCACTGATCTCTCCCTCAGTCATCACATGCAGATAGTGTAGATACTGTGCATTGATTCTGTATATAAGAAGTTTGAGACAGTAATTTTGCTCTTTATCCATGGCTAAAACTCTCACATAAACTTTATTTAAGGTCTGAACTCTAAAATTCTTTTTTTCCAAAATCTATCAATACAGTATAATACTGCTGTTATCCACTCAAGATGCTCTTGCACCTTTTTTTATCATCTACAGCATAAGGTGCTAATTTTGAATGACCTTTTCAGCTCAACCACAGCCTCTTCTGATTTCTCATTTGCTTCTGAAGTGTCAATTATGGATAGATGGGTTTCCCCATTCTTCAAATGTCTTTTTTTTTTGTCCTTACTGTCACTGGCTAAACAGTAGAAGGATCAGATTGTTTTCTATAACACCATGTACTTGTTTACACCAGAGAAATTAACTACTGAAAAATTAAATGTCATAACTAAGTGCTTACAAGAACTGAGATTTCTGAAGCTGCAAACAAAAACAAGCATTACTTGAGATACACACATTTTCTTGGAGATTTATTTCAGCTGATGTTTTACATCTTACTTTTATTTGAGGTAGAAGAACAAAAAATCCCACAATAAAATAACACCTATGTCCTCACTCAATTCCCTCTGACTTTTCCAGAGTTGAGTCCTCCCTTTTATATATTTCCCACCATCTTCTCTCTCTTTAATTCCTCTTTTTCCATTTTCGTTGGAGTTCTTGGGACAAGTTCCAAGTGTATCATTTTTTAAACATTATTTTACTCCAAAAAAATTCTTCTCTGTGTGTTTCTATAGTCAGACAGTTCATTTCAATAGGATATTGAGATTTATTCCATTCTTCTACAGTGAAAAGATTTTGGAACAGCAGTAACTTTAAAAAAATAAGAACAACAGAAAGAAACAGGAAAGTAAATATCATGAGGGAACAAATCTAACATGAATATATCTGAAGCTTAAAAAGTTTCAGATTGATTTGCTGTTTAGTCTCTTCTAATTGTAGTATGTATACATGATATTCCCTGAGTTCAATTTTAGCTTTTTGTAAGTACCATAAAGACATTTTTGTATCTTCTCCAAAATTTTAATAGTTTCCAGTGACTATTCACAGACTAAGTGAGAACTCTATTTTGAGCCAAATAGTGTCTGTTCTTTCCAACCTATGTGTTATTTGCTAGTTATTTGGATGTCATAGTCTCTTCGGTTGTACTGTCTGCTGTCCTGTTTTGTCTATCCTGTCTATATTCTATTCTTACAACCTTCAGAGAATGTTTTCTGGGCCACATCCAAGGCTGTATTTGTTCAGGTGAACTTCAGGAAATTTCAGGGGAAAAATAATCCTTCATTCTAATGGTCCATGGAGAATTTAAATCGATCAATCAAAATGAGGTCAGGTAGTACTTTCTAGGGTTACAAGTAAACCAATATTTAGGGAGGAAAACTGTCTAAACAGATGAATGCCTATGAAGTTAATACTTGGGAAGATCTATGAGCAAGAGGAAAAAACATTGTATCATCTTTTCCATCTCATATATTACTTAATCCAAAGTATGCTTGTTTGACATCTCTATTTCCTGTTTGGATAATGCATATGTGCTAAGTTCTGGCAATGAGTTATTTGTTTGTGCAGTTGGGCTTCAGATAAGCAAAATAAAAATGTTTAAAGCTGCACATCAAAGCCAATATAGTAATTAGTTAGCATTAGAACCTTACTGCTTCAATAGAAGGAAATACCAAGTTCCTAACACCAATTCCAAATAAATAAGAAGTTCAAATTAAGAAAATTATATGCTATGCTTAGATCTGTCTGGGTCCCAATCCTGGGCCTGCAGGGCTGAATCAGGGGATTTCAGAGTTCTGCTTCCTGCCTCCTACTGAAGGTAGGAAAAACCAGCCTGCTTGTGGCTGTTTTTCTAAGCCACAGACTCATTCAGCTCCACAACCTGATGCACTGAGCTTGCCACACAAGTTTCTGCATCTAGGGTAGTATGGTAAAAAGTATCTTTAACAATACATGCTGAGGAGCAGACAGCATCCAATGGGGTCAGACTGTTCTGTGGGTTATCATTTGCTTATTATCAGGTGTCATCATTTCCAATGGCTAAACCTGCACATTACCACTGATAGCAGCACTGTGTAATTGTTACTACTGTGTATTTTTAAATAGTGAACAATTTTTAAACAGTTAATGTAGGAGGAAGAAGAGGTTACTGCTGCCATTAGCTCCAGTACTGCAGCAACCATCACAACATCATTCTTTATCCAATAGCTTAATTGCTGTGAGACTTATATATGATTTGGACACACGAGTGTCTAGGTTTAAAAGCAGTCTTCATAAATGAAGATAGTAGGGATGATTTAATAATTATATCCTTTCGTTCTGGGTAAGCTCTGTTGAATCAATTAGCATTTCACTTATCATTTTAAAAATTAATAGATGACCAGTGAGAAAGCTGATATTTGCTACATCCATATTTGCAATGCAGATTTTATACTTTTTGGTTTCACGTTATTGATGGACTTCATGGTTCTAACAGATGGAGCATTTATCCATTTCAGAAAGCACTGATCCAAAAGTAGTAGATCCATTATTATGGATACTAGCTCAAAGTCACTCCAAAACTGGAATGCAAAAGGCCCATAACTTTTTGAAAACTAATATGACTGTTATATTAGTTTTGTGTTATTGAATAATGTTGTCACATCACTATTTGTGTGAAATCTCTTGGGTTAAAATATTCTTTAAAGAGGTGTTTATTTTTGGACAGACCTATTGTCTCCTACTCAGCTGCTCTCAGAGATCAGAGAGAGCTCAGCTATACAGACACCCTCATTTTGTAGAAAATGAATTTTCAGATCTTTAAAGGAAAAAAACAAAACTATGTCTAATAAAACTTTTTAAAAGAATGTTTCATTTGATGACTTGTCCAGAAAGGGGAAGTTTGGACAATAATCAGACATGAAAGCATACACTCTCTTCTCAGTAAGTGTAAATAGCTGTGTATGTTTTTAATGTTTCTGCCACAGGAACATAATTCTTGGGGTTTTATGTTTCTTCAACCTGTATACTTGGGAAAACATTAACTGACTTTTGGTTTTCTGAGCAGTGGACTCCAAATAAAAAAGCACAGATCCCCCAGCTGGGTCCAGTCAGATGGAATATGCTTTTGCACAGTTGAAGACTTTGGAGTCCCAGCAGTTAGCAGGACCAGCCTGAACTGATCCCTCTGTGTCATCACAGTGAAAAGGTAATTCAGATCAAAGCCATAGCTTCAAGTAAAAGCAGTGTTTGTGAAAGATATCATTCTGATAGCTGTGAAGAGAACGCCTTTTTCGCAGGAGAAGAACAGCTTTAGCTGCAGCAAATTAAGTTTTGCACTGGTGTAGCACTTCATTTATGTCTCTTGAGACCCAGTGATTTATTTTATTGACTCACTTAGCAGCTGGTTTTATCTATTGCAACAGCCAATTCCAACCTATCAAATGAAGCTGACACTGAGATGAGCTGTATGAAGTTAGACACCTGTCATCCACTTGAAACGATCAGCATATTGCACAGGGGTGCAACAGCAGGGGATAGCAGAGGCGTGCAGAGACATATCCAAGCCTAAACCTTAATTTTCTCTGCAGATGCTTTAAATGAGCATCACTGTCTGTAGATACATATGTGCTTAGCACTAGACATCTCGAGATATCTGTAAAATTACCAAGTCCTGGAAAAGCCTGGGTCATCAGACTGCTGCTTTGAAACTGGAAGAGTGTTAACTGTGATTTGAAAGGGAGACTGGTGGGAAGTTATTTGTTCTGAGGGGGAAAGGTTTGGAAAGAAAACAATCGCAGGCAATTTTTTAGACATTTTCTTACAATGTAAATTGCAAGGTCTAGACTAAGACGAATGTTTGGAGACAGGGCAAGTTGGTGTTTACCATTCTTGCTTTCCATTCAGTGCATCCACCATGGCTAGGTCCAGTGGAGCAGACTGACTGTGATGCGCAGTGCAGTGGACAGTACCGGGTCTGACACCGCCAGTCGTGCAGCCCAGCGCCTGTTCTCGGCCAGCTGCGTCGGAGGGGGTAAAACGAGAAGCCTTGGTTATTCAAACGCCAGGATAGCAGGGCAGAGGTTATTCCTGCTGTTCCCAGAGCCTGTCCCTGCAGCTGTGACGCTGACCGGGGCACACTAGGCTGCCCGTGGACGCGGTGCCTCCCTCTCTTCGCTCGCCTCCCGCCCGGTCCCGGTCCGGGCGCTTCGCCGCGGCCGGCGGTGTGAGAGCGGGGGACGTCAGTGCGAGGGGGCCGGTCCTGGGCAGGGCAGGGCGGCCGCGTCCCGTCCCTCCCCGCCCCTCGCCGCGGCTGGCTCCCTCCCTCCGGCTGAGGGCGGCCGGGTCGGCGCTCAGCGGGATCCAAGTCCTCCTCTCTCGGTGCATGGTCGCGGCGGGAGCCGAAAAGGGCGAGCCCGGCGGGGCGGGGGCCGGAGGCGGCGGCGACGACAACAGAGCCCCAGTGCGGAGGAGCCGCCTCTGCCCGGCAGAGGTAAGGCGGCGGCCCCGCCGAAGTTGTGCGGGGTCGGGAGGGAGGGAGGACGGGGACCGCTGGGTGCACTTCCATTCATTGCCCGAGCGGCGGCTGGGCTGCCGCTCCCCCCGGGCCGGGGCTGCAGCCGCAGGACGGGTCGGGGAGCAGCAGCGGCGGGACGGGTACGGCGCGGAGGGGGTGGTAGAGACGGGGTTGTGGCGCCGGCGAGAGCCGCCCGGCGTCTGCCGGGTCAGCGGCGGGCGGGAGGGCACCCGGGCGCCTTCCCCGCGAGGAGCGCGGCGGGGACACGGGGCGCGACCCGGCGAGGCGCCCGGAGCCGCCGGGCTGCCCCCTTCCTTCCCCCCTCCCTCCTGCCCCGCTCCCTTCGTACGGCGCGGCGGTGCCGCCGAGCAGCCGACCCGGCGGGACGCGGCTGTCCCCGCCGGGCAGCGGGAGGCGGTTAGCGGGGCCCGTGCTCCGCGCACACGGCCGCCGGGCGGCTGCGCTCCCCCTGCGCCGTCAGGAGGGGGGCGGGGACGGGACGGGGGGCGCGGGAACCGCGGGACGGCGGGGGCGCCCCCGGCCGGCTTCGTGCGGGACGGGGAGCGAGGCGAGCGGGAGCCGCCCTGCCCCCGGCCGGCACACCTGCAGCCTCTTCCGGGCGGCACGGGCGGGGGTGCTCGTCTCTCCGCGGGCTGCCGTGGGGAGCGAGTGCTCGAAGATCACCTTGGCGCCTTCACACCTCCGACGTGTTCTTCCTTCTCCTCGCCTTTCTGGGCCCACTTTTTGAGAGAGGGATGTGTGCGTCTGCGAGGGTACTTTGTTTCTTATGGCCCTTCAGGGAAGGGCAAGAAGTGGGTGGCACGGGTTACCAGTGCAAGTTTATTGGCAGTTTAGGCGTCACTTCAAAGGAACTCACTGCTGAGGTTGGATCCCATAATTCAGAAGTTGTGGGTGCGTTGGAGCAACATCAAGTAAAATAGCAGAGCTGGCAGTGCTGTGTCCAGACAAGTGCACGTGCTGCCAGTACCTGGTGGCAGAGCAGCTGGGTTGCACCATCGTAATAAGTTTACACCAAGCCAGAAGTAAGCAAAGAGACACTGTGAGTGTGTGCATCCTAATCAGAGATGTGTTATTAAGAATAACTGATAACAATTACAAAGCTCTAGCTGATCTCATCCAGAAGGAAATATTATGTATGTTAATTACAAGGTTTGGCTTTCTTAGGGAAACATTCCTCGGCACCATTACAAATACCTTAATGAAGATGTCTGTTTGGTCACAGTCCTGCAGTGGGTTCTAGCTGTGCAAGCTCACACCTGCAAGAAGCCCTCTTGTATTCATGGGTTTGCTTTGGTCATAGAAACCTCAGTGCTGTAACTCATAGAGGCCTAAATTTATGCTGTGCGCAAGGAGTGGCTAATTAGGAAGTGCCATGGACACTGAAATAAATGTTCAATTTTATTTTTCTGAGTGAATCACACTACAGAAATATAATCCAAATTAATCTAAGGCACTTTCTGGAGTATTTTCTCCATGTTCATGCATTGTTAGATGCAGGATGTAGATAGACTGTTAGGGCAGTTAATGAGAGGGTTTTATCTCAGACATAGTTTCATGGGACCATTCCTTGATTATTTCACTGAATATGATAGTTGCAGCCACTCCAGTTTTAATCACATCACTGCTTTCTTCACAGGATTTCTTTGTGTGGGTCACAGAGTAGTTCTAATGAGTATGTAGGAAATTACCCACTTTATCTTTTTGTTAGTTAAGCATCTGCTTTATTAAGCATTCTGGGAGATGCGTGCGTGATGATGTACCCACATGTAAGGCAAGTAGCAGTAGTGTGTCATTTGCTTTTACAAATATAAATCACTGGGAGTGGATGCAGCAGCATTTCGGTATAAGAATATTATAGTATTTTTGTTATCTCTTTAGTCAAAGCATATTCCTCCACATCATCTAAGTCACTCTGGATTGTGCTGGGCTGGTAAGTTTGGATCAGGAGTACTTCTGGTGCAGACTGAAAGGAAGTCCATGGTTACCATGATCTTTTTTCATGTTCTGTCTTATAGCAGTGAAAATTGCTTATGGTGTTTTGTAATACAGTAGGACAATGACATACTAAGTGCTACATGTTATTGCATCAGCAGAAGCTGGTTGAGCTGCAGTTGACTGTGTAGTTGGTACCAGACAAGAAACCTAGTGTTTTATTTTGCATACCGTGTAGACATTGCTGTTTAAATAATAATTACATGAAAAGGAGGATTCATTATTTTCCTAAGTGTTGTGAAGAACAGAATTATTGTTCATCTAAGTTTGTATTTCCAGAAGCTTCTACTTTGTTAGTACTTGTTGGAAGGCTCCCTAGTAAAAGAGAAGAGGTGGTTGTGACAAGGGGACGTGTTGAACACAGGATGGCAGCTCCTATCTGATGAGAGATTTCTGGTTATGCACTGCAGGCAAAAAGCAATTTCTAGGAATTTCACCCTCAGTGTCTTAAAATCAACTTGTTACAAGAGCAAAAGAGTCTCTTCACATAGGACTAGCCCCTGGTGAAGCTTGAAGTGGGAGGGTGAAGTGCTGCTCCACTGTCCCTCACTGTCCTTGCTTCCTACCCACACGTGTTCGTGCACAGGCACAAGCACACACAGCTCATCTTGTGGGTGACTCTGCACCATCCAGCCTGTGGGGAGGAAAGCAGTGATCAACTTCTGAACTGCTGGTGGCAATGAGAGAAGCCTTTTTATGTCCCCATTCCTTCCTTCCTCTGGAACAAGGGCTTTCTGTGTCTTCCTATTTGCTGCTTTCCTCTGTGTTTTCTGAGCCTCCCTTCCCCCACAACAGTTTCCATTTCTTTGCTTTCTGCCTAGGGATAAATCATTTGGGATGTCAGCATTTTTAACTCATTTAGCAACAAGTGTAGAGCTGGCTAGCGTCTGGAAGGTGATACTGGCTCTCAGAGTCCTTTTTTGATGCAGAGACAATTGCTGATGCAATTATAGTTAACAAGTCTGTTAAAATAATGCTAAAGACTTTTGCTTAGATTATTCCTTCTGGGTTTTCAGCTTTCAGAAAATTGACATATTTCTCCTGGGTTGTGGAGATCTGCCCTGGAAATGTGGAACTAATAGGATGTATTTTTCCAAAATCATTGTCCTACATACAGATGAACGGGAATTAAGCTGAATGTAGAGCATCCATAAAGCCCAGATGAAAAAAATTAATTTGTCGTTTGAAATTGCTGGGAAGGTCTGGTCAGATACTCTGAAAGCTGTCTAAACAAGTTCTATTATTTTACTTTTAAACAGTCTTCTGAGTAACGTGATATTATCATGTTATACCGCTGAAAGTAGTTGATGCATTTTGAAAAATAATGTCAATTTGCGAACTTAATTTCTTTTTTAATTACCTTTGTTTCTCCTTATGTTTAGACTTTAGGAAGTCACAGGTAAGTATTTCAACATCAGTTAATCAGAGAATTATCAATTTTCCTAGAAATATTTTCTTAAAAGATATTTTTGTGGAACGTAATTCAAAAGAAAACAAAGCCCACAATAAAGGAGTAATTGAATTATAAATTTGCTGCAATGGCAAGCAGATGACTGCAAATGTACCCAATTTGTGTGAGTGGATCAGGAATATATATGAAATTCTGAACTATGGCCATACATGTAGCAATTGGGCAGTTATATTTTCCATGACTGAGCATAAATAAATCACAGCAGAAGATAGAGACCATTGTGCTGTTCACACAATCAACAGGATACAGTTTCTGGTTTACTATACGTAATTAAAAAAAAATAAAAATCATGGTCTGTTCTAAATACTAATTTCTCCAGTCTTCCTTGTCTTTTGATTTTTATAATAATACTATCTTTTTCAGCTTGGATCTGCATAGTAAAGTTAGATGTGGGCTCTTAAAAGGAGAATCCAGAATATATAAGATGTTGCTGCATGAGGAGAATGCTGCAGCAATTTCTTTCTTAAAACATTTCTTACGTATATTGCTTTAGATGTTGTTGGCTGGGGTTTTCTTTGAGGGTTTCTCTGAGGCCCATGGTGAAAACATGACAACTAAATGACAAACCATGAGAACAAAATATAATGAAAAGACGAAAAAATGTCTTGGAGAAAGTATCATTTTGTGTTGCAGCAAGTGAGAGTACTTCAATAAATGAACCCAAACACACAAAAAAGACTTACTTTAAGCTGATTTTCAAATATTTTCATTTTCACCTTTAACAGCTTCTAGTGCTCAGAAACGATTAATGAAGCAATGTGACTGAAGCAGTTGTACAGCCTCCCTTGTCACTGGTGTCAGTGTTCTATTTCAAAATTCTTTGTATTAATGCTGTCTCATTATCTTGAAGATTATGAAGGTATTGTTAGATTCATGTGTTCTACATGATATCTAACATCTTACTGGTGAAAGCGTCTTAGATTTGAATTTACACACACACACAGAATTACCTTTATAGTTCACTAATTGATCTTCATGTTTGCTGACACTTGACACTGCATGTGTTTTACACCTTTCACCAATAGGTATTAGTGCTGTCACTCTATTCCAGATGATTAACAGTAAATTTTGTAGGTAAAATTACATAGTAGCCTTTAATATTATGATTGATTCTTTCACTAAAGTTTGACTGTAGGTTGTTGGCCTTTCGTTCTGCAGAATTCTTTTTGATCCCAAGTAGGTTTTTCTGTAATGGTGCTTTAGGAAAAAATCTTGTAAATTTCATGCTAATACAAATGGTCAACATGATAATTGTAGCAATTATAGCCTGATCTGAACTTTATTAAAAAGCCTTATTAAAAGCCGTACAGTTCTCAAATCAGCTTTTTTTGAGAAGTGTGTCTTCTCAGGGTGGCCGAGACTTTGGGTAGCTGCAACAGAACTTTTTTGGTTCAGCTTCCAAGCATAATCCCTTAAATCTGGTTGGAAAGAATCACCTGTGAAGTGGGAGGATAAATTCAGTATCTGTATCTATTTGATCTTCTGCTGAGAT